TTCTCCTGCATCCCACCTGAATCCCAGCCTTATCCCCCTGGCTCTGTCCCTGGTAGAAAGCTGTGGAGGTCAAGTCTCATTAACTCTCTCCCTCAAAGAAGATTAAATACAGTTCACACCGCTATTCTAGACCAGTGTTGCTCACCGCCACCCGAAGCCAAGAGCTCCCGGATTTCCTTGTTGTTGCTGAACTGCCCTCCGCCTGGCCTCCTCCACCCTCTTCTCAGTCGGCATCCAGCCCCTTCTCTGACTTCCCCTCCCGTCCTCACATGCAGGTGGTAGCCACCACCGTGATGCTGGAGAAGAAGTTGCCTCGCTGCCTGTGGCCTCGCTCTGGGATCTGTGGGCGCGAGTATGGGCTGGGGGACCGCTGGTTCCTGCGGTAAGTGATGGTGTGGGCTGCGCAGTCCCTGAACAACCAACCACCTTTGCGTGGGGACCCTTTGCTTGGACAATTCCCTGCTCCCAGGGACCCTATAGAAGTCTGTGTACTCCCTAAGCCCCAAGTCCATCGACTGGGCTGCAGCTACTGAGGAAGGGATCCCTATAGGAGCCTAGACCCCTCCAAGTGTACGCAGAGCTGATGGGCCAGAGCCTATTTCCTGAGCGTGTTGTTCCCCATCCCCACACCAGGCGCAGAGAAGGAGAAAGGGCTACAGCGTGGTGCTGGCAGTGGGCAGGACACAAGCAATGGTCTTGCCTCCGCTCTTCAATTCCTGCTCTCTCAAGGCTTCTTCCATTCTGCAGGGTGGAAGACAGGCAGGACCTCAACCTGCAGCGAATCCGGCGCTACGCCCAGGCCTTCCAGCCACAGGGAATCCTCTGCTCTGAGGACTGGGACAAAGACCCAGGGGAAAAACCAGAGATGGGCCGCCCTGTAGGCCCCTACCTGTCCTTTCCTACACCCTCAGTGTCCCGAAGTACCTCCCGCAGCAGCACCAACTGGGAAAGGCTTCGACAAGGAGCCCTCCGGAGGGACCTGCGGGGCATGATCAACCGGGGCCTGGAAGAAGGGGAGGGCTGGGAGTACCAGATATGACTGCTCGCTAGTTGTTGGAGCATCAAATCCAAACCAAAACAACAAAAATACAACAGAAACCGAGGTCTCATCTCCCAGGTCCAAGAGGGAAACGGGGAGGGGCATGATGTCAAGGAATGTATGCTAGAAATAACTGCTCCAGGTCTTGCAGACTCCCTCAGATCGGGCAAAGGGAAACAGTCTGTGGTCCTCCCTGCCCCAAGCATTTCTGACTCTTGTATGGAAGTCCCACTGCACATCAGAGCACTTTAAAGGCAGGTTCGCCTTCTCCGGAGCCTGTCTCAACCCAAGTCATAAGTGGGAAGGACTCCTTCGCAGGGTGCACCAGACAAGTACCAGGCTTGTGGAAGGGAGTGTGAGGGAGGGAGACGGATGCCACCCCAGGGATGGGGAAGCTGGGCTGAGTCTGACACCTTCCACCTTCCAATAAAGCCATTTCCTTCTCCTTGGGCTGCCCCTCCTCTGCATTTCTGGGTCCTCTGCCTTCCCTGCCTACAACTCGGGCCCCGCCTCCAGGGCCTTCCTAGCCCCTCCTTGCGGACTGAGGCCTGGACACACCCAAACTTGCAAATTCCCTTCTTTCCCTTTAATGTGGGGGAGGTGAGCGGCAGGCGGAGGACTGGGGAATACAGTTTGCGTTTCCCAAGGGCCGGGTTGACTGGCAGGCACGGAGGTGGAGGTGGAGCCTGGCTCACGTCTCACACGTCCCTCCTTGGACCTGCATCCAGCTGGGTCCTGGGCATAGTCAGTGCACGGCTTCTCAACCAGGCCACATTCACACCTCCACGGAGCCCGGCTGCCTCAGATGCTGCTGGAGGAGCTGGACATTGTACAGCAGCTTCTTCTGGTGGCCAGCCAGGGTGATGCCGAGGGCAGGCAGGTCTCTGGTGGGGAGGGAGTGGGTCAAGTCTGGGCCAGCTGCTCCAAGATCCCAACCTCAGCCCTCAGCTGGGGCCCAGAGCACCTGCCCACCCGCATGCCTGCCCCTGCTTACTCCAGGCTGAGCTGAGCCACATCACTGAAGGTGCAGAGGCCAAACCTGGAGAAGTTGTCCTGGTAGCACTCCAGTCCAATGGCTGCAAGCCAGGCCTGGGGCGAGTCCAGACAAGGAAAGTCCAGGGCCACAGGTTTCAAGAGGGCCTGGGAAGGTCTAAGGTGAGGAGGGGCAGGTAGGTTAAGGTCAGTTCGAGGTCTTCTCTTCAGCTTAGCCCTCTCTCCTCAGCTTTCTTTTGGTTTGCATCTACCCTCCCTGGCTCTCCCGGGCTCCGGCCCCAAGCTCCAGACCTGTCCCCTGAACCCCCATCGGCCTGCAGTGTGTCCGGCTTGCGGATCATCTTGTCGAAGGCAGCCACCAGCTGGTCAAAGTGAGGCCGCCGGGCACGGTCCTTCTGCCAGGTGTCCAGCATCAGCAGATGTAGTCCGGGAGGACAGCCTGGAGGTGGAGGCAGCCGGAACTCCTGCTCTATTGCGTTTAGGACCTGGGGACCAGTGGAAACATAGGATAATGGGAAGCTATAGAGAGCGCGCGGTGCACAAAGGCAAAGCTGGCCAAGTACTGCATGGCAGCAGCCACTCCCCGCTGCGTGGCCACCAGCTGCCAGTAGAGGGAAGTGTTAGGAGAAAGGGTGAGCTAGAATCAGGGGCAGCATGAGGTGGGAACAGGGAAGAAACTTGAAAGTATGGACTAAGCCACTCATGAGGTTGCAGAAGGGAGATCTTAGAATACGTGCGCCTGGGAGGGTCGGGTGGAGGAGACAGCGCACGGGTCAAGCGCTCACCTCCTGCTCACTCATGTCCCAGTAGGGGCGTTCTCCATAGCTCATCACTTCCCACATGAGTATCCCGAAGCTCCAGACGTCACTGGATGTGGTGTGCTTCCCATGGGCAATGACCTCGGGGGCTGCCCAGCGAAGCAAACAACTTGAGCTCTAAGAGGTGGAATCAAAAGCAAATTAGTCATGCTCTTACTAAAACTCACATTTATTGAGTCCATGCTCAGCTGTGCATGGAGGGTTTCACAGCAGGCATCCCATTTAATACTCTTAAACATCCCGAAAGGGTGGGTGATTGGATGCAGAAGCTGAGGCGTAGAGAATATGAACTTGTCCAAGATCCAGGCCTGGAGAGTCAAGATTGGTGCCCAGCTGTGCTGATACAGGAGCTTCTACCTTCCGAGTGCTAGGGAGCTGGCAGGTGCTGATGCTAGAGTGTTGCAGTTCTTCTGGCCTCCCGGTTCCTTCTCTTTGCCTCTGTCTCTGAAAACCATCATTTGCCCCCCTGTGTAGGTTTCTCTCCCCTCTCAAGCAGCTGAGCCTCCAATCTCCAGGCACTGAGACTCCCACCCCAGGCACCCACCCCAGGTTCAAGCTCCAGCACCTGCAGAGAGATGCTGAGTCCCCAGGCTCCACACTAACCTGAGGACTGTGGCCAAGACGTGCCACCTTGCACACCAGGTGGCTGTTCACCAGCACACTTCGGGCAGAGAGCGCGCGGTGCACAAAGGCAAAGCTGGCCAGGTACTGCATGGCGGCAGCCACTCCCCGCTGCATGGCCACCAGCTGCAGGCTGCTGAACTGGCCCTCTCGCTGCTGAGGGGCAGGGGGCAGAGGTAAGCACCAGGACCGGGAACCTCAACATGGTGCAGACACTGGCGTGAGAGGCAGATGGGGGCAGATGGCAAATTTGGGAAGCAGAAAACGTCCTGGGAAGGAGGATGAAGCCCACCAAGGGAGGTGGGGTGGGAGGGAGCCAAGGTACAGGGCCATATCTCCTGGAGAAGGTGAGAACCCCATGCTTCCCTGTCCCCAAGGACCCTCCTCCACCAGCCTGGACTGACCCTGAGGAAGCTGTCCAGGGGCCCAAGCTCCATGAGCTCCGTCAGCACCATAAGAGGTCGGCTCTTGGTGACTACGCCCTCCAGCCGCAGGATGTTGGGGTGCTGGAACTGACCCAGCAGTGCGGCCCGGCCCAGGAAGGTCATCTGCAGGCTTTCAGCACCCCCAGTCCACAGGGCCTGGATGGCCACAGCCTGTTCACGCCGTCCCCTGGGCTGCAGGCGGCCCCGACGCACTTCTCCAAAAGAACCTGGGAGCACAGGTGCAGTTGGGTGGAGTTGGGGAAGGCTGCACCTAGCGGGGCCTTGGCCAAGGAAGGCAATGAGGGATCCCCAGCCCTCCAAGACCTTCCTTGTCCCTGCAGTACCTGCTCCAATGACCTCCTCGATCTTGATATATGCAGGGTCAACTTCTCGGGCGAGTTCTCGGATGGCCTGGCAGGGGTCCTCATATGTAGAAGGGTCAATGTAATACTTTACCCCAAGCCCTGCAGGGAAACGTATACAATGAGAGTGGGGTGCCAGGCCAGGTGCCTCTGTCCTCACCTCCAGGAGATAGCGTCATGGTCCCCCTCAACCTTGCCCTCCCCAAGTCCCCCACCCCCTCCATTTTCCCTTCGTGCCCCCACCTGGGCTGCTGTACTGCTGTAGCTGTTCCGTGTATCCTGTCCCACGCCGCTTCCTAAGGGACAAACCAGCACCCTGGAATGATGTCCCTATTTCTGCCCTCTGCTTGCCCCAACCATCCCGCTAGCGAGGCTGCTTCTCAGCCGGCTCCCGGGAGGGAGAGGACACTACCAGGCTGCTCCTCCCCACCTGTGCATGGGGTTCAGGACAAGGTCTGGGGCCGTGGAGAAGGATGTTTGGGGTCTCGGTGGAGGCTAGCCACCAGGACAGAATGGTGCCAGGGTGGTTGGGTAGGAGTGCCAGGGGCCTCACCGTTGGAAGATGACGACAAGCACAGTGATAGCCGCCAGTAGGAGGAAGGCCAAGGCCCCTAGGATGGAGCCAATCACCAAGGACAACTTTTCTGGGAGTGGAGAGGACAGCTCACCTGAGGGACCAGCGCCGGGGTCACAGGGGCCAGGCCTCTCACCCAAGAGCGCACACAGACCCCGCTGTGCACAGCATCCACACATGTCACACATACACCTCAATGCACATCCACATGCCTGTGCAGACATAAGCACATGCATACCTCAAACTTCGTACATCCACACACATGCACACAAGGGCAGGTACGCACCCCAAAGCCCACATCACACCCACACACATGCACACAAGGGCAGGTATGCACCCCAAAGCCCACACCACACCCACATACACAGGTACACACCACAAAGCCCACATCACATCTGCACACATGCACACACAGAGGCAGGTACACACCTCAAACTCTATACTACACCCACACACATGCACATACAAGTACCCACTCCAAATCCCACATACCTGCACACATACACACACATGTAAGTCCACACCCCAAAGTCTACACCACACCCACACACATGCACTCACACAGGTAGGTACACACCCCAAACTCTATATTACACCCACACACACACACATACATGCAGGTACACACCCAGACCTCTTATAGTACACACACACACACACACACACACACTTGCATGCTCAATCCTTCACACGCACCCACAACCTCTCTAGCCCGCTTGTACACCCAGCACATGTTTATATGTCACACACATACCTACACCCACAGTCCTCCCACACCTCACACTCTTCCCAGAAAGCCCTTAAGGTCAAGGTTCAGCTCCTAAAGTCAGGGTCAGCAAACACTCTTGTCACACCCTCCCGCCCCAGAGCCTCTGGAGCATCCCGGGCGGAAGCTTGTGGCCTAGCCAGTCGTGACTATCCCTCCCGCCTCCCCTGCCCACTGCGGCCTCCCCTCACCTTGCGGCAGTGTCTGGAAATAGACCTTGCCTCCGTATGGACCGTGGCCTGCGGCAGTCCGTGCTCGCACTTGGAAGCCGTAGATGTGGCCGGGGCTCAGCTGTGTCACGGTGGCAGTGTTGGTCTCGCTGGTCAGGGTGAAGGAGTGCGATTCGTCCTCTGCCTGGGGGGCACAGCCGCTCACTCCCTGCCTGGCTTGGCAGGCCCCCTATCCCTAGCTCTAGGCCCCTGGAGTCTCCTTGTGCATCCCTCAGACAACACCAGCCCCTGCTGTGGGGCTGCAAGCTCCCTCCAACCCTGCTGCAGCGGCCCCTACCCTACCTTCTGCCCACCTGGTCATAGTAGCGGAGCTGGTAGTCAAGGATGTTCCCATTGGCCTGGTCGGGCTGTGGCCAGGACACGGTGATGCTGTTGGCTGCCCGGCTCACTTGGTGTACCACAGGCACTGCAGAGGGGACTGAATTGTAGGGGTGGGATAGCGGGTGGTGCTCAGACTATGGATTCCAAAGCAGGCCAGATGGAGGGCAGGAGCGGAGAACAGGGATCATGAGGAGCTGAGGCCAGGCATCCTCAAGGTGGAGGGAAAGGGCTCACCTTCGTGGCTGGTGCTGACATTGATGGCTGTAGCCTGAGGAGGGTCAGGGCTGAGCTCAGTCACCCCGTTGACAGCTTGCACCTCCAAGATGTAGGGCACGTGCGCTCGGAGCCCTCCGACTAACACTCGACTCTCAGTCAGGCCCCTCTGGCGGGGATCAAAATGCACCTCATCCCTGCAGCGGCGACAAGTGCCCCCACCGCCGGGCTCCTGGTGGCCTCCACACTCCTTGCACACAACGTTGAAGAGAAGGTCCCCTCGTCCCCCCAGCTCCTGCGGCAGGCGCCAATGCAGCATGAGCACAGAGCCTTGCACCTCAAACCAAAGCTCCCGGGGAGCTGAAGGAGGGCCTGCACAGCCAAGGGCGGGGCGGGGCAGAGCCAGCAGGGATGGAGTAGTGGGAGGAAGGGATTGAGGAAAGAGGGTCAGGGGGTGGATGGCCCAGAGGGAGGAGCCAGAGAAAGGGAGAAGGAGAGCAGAGAACAGAGGAGGCAGGAGGGAAGCAGGAGGGACAAGGAGGGCAGGGAGGGGAGGAAACCAAGGAAACAGGAGAAAGACAAGTCAGCTCCAAATATAACACCCCCAGTGTTGTGCACCCCCACTTCCGGTCCCACCCCTTGGGGCTTTTCCATGCTGGGCTAGTGGGGTACTCACCAGTGCAGGGGGCCTCTGGTGGGTCGGAGCTGGCCCGATAGAAGCCCTGAAGGCAGGGGCAGATAGGGGCTGCAGGGTCAGCCGACTGGCTGCGAGCAGGGCACGGCGAGCAGGGGGCATTCCCGGCGGAGGCCTTATAGGTCCCAGCGGGGCAGGCTGGGGAGGCAGAGGGAATGTGGGAGTCACACTCACGGCACCCACCCATCCTGAGTTCCCCGCGCACCTGCACACAGGTGCTGGGGTGCACAGACCTCCGCTCCCTAGAGCGGATCCTCTGTTCCTCCTGAGACCTAACCCTCCTCCATCTCTTCCCAGGAGCGGGAGATATTCTGTGAGTCACTGGGACAGAAATGCATTTCCACTGATGCAAAAGGGAGGCTTGTGGGGGCTGTGGGCAGGGCCAGCCCAGGTGTGGGAGTCCCAGGCTGGGTTGCATAACCTCCTTCTGCAGGAACTCTTCTTACACACTTCCACTGTTGCCTCTGCCTGCTTCCCCAGCCACTCGGCCCTTCAGGGCACCCTCCTTAAGCAGGTGACAAGGGCAACAGGGGACCCTATCCAGTAACCTAGGAGCTCAACTTTTAGCCTCCATCACTTCTTCATCTGTAGCCCCAGGATCCTTAGTAATTACTGTGGCGGGCTCCAGAACATTCTAGATAATTCCAGATAGTGAGTGTGAGCATTTGTATGCCTCAGAAAATAAAATTGAGGAACACTGGTCCTTCCTGAAGATGGGTTATTTCTGACTATTGGGGGACGAAAGGAAGGGTGGGGTGTCCAGGAGAGGAAGCCAAGGTCGGGGGCAGGTGAGAGGTGCTGGGCACATGGCAGAAAATGGGTCCTCACCTTGGCAGGCTTTGTCTCCACGTGCGGGCTGGTGTCCTGGCTGGCAGCGGCAGCCCCCGACGGCCACCATCCACTTGCCTTCCCCATTGCAGTGCAGCCTGGGGGGGCTGCCTCCGGCCTGGCCGCCCACGCCATCCTCCTCCAGCTCTGCGTGAGCCACACAGGTGCCCACAGCTGCCACCAGGGAAGCCCCCCCAGCCCCACTGGCCTGCGTCTCAGGAAAGGAGGCAAAGGCCCGAAGCACAGGGGCGCAGGTGTAGGAGAAGAGCTTCACGGCTACCAGGGCCAGGCAGGCCCCCGTGTCCTGGAAGGCCACGTAGAAGCCGCGCTGGGTCAGAGGGCCAAAGCTGCGCTCCTTGACGTTCAGCTGCAGCCCGGCCCGCTGCCCCGTCCTGTGGGGCCCTGCAGCCCACGCGGAGGAGGACGAAGAGGAGGAGGCTGGGAAGCTCTCGTCCGCTGCGATAGTGTCCACTTTGGTCCAGCGCTTGAGGTGCCAGGCAGGGCTGCTGCCAGGGCTGTCGGGCTCCTCAGCCTGGCGGTAGTAGAGAGTGAAGGTCTCCCGGCAGGTGCCCCCGCTCACGCCCAGGCTGGCGCAGGCACGCACGGAGAAGTGGAGTCTGATGTGGGCCCTCTGGGCCCCTCTCCGCTCCACAAAATGCGTCTGCAGCCAATTGTCCTGCGCAGCGCCCGCGGGGGCCCCTGCCACGTGGCACGCCTCGAAGGTCCGCGTCAGGCGGCGCTGGTCGTCCAGCACGCTCACCTCGTCCCACTGCGGGGTGGGAGAAGATTAGCTGCCCTGCCATGCAGGGGCGTTAGAGTGACAGTGGAGGGGCCCTGTCTACTGTACTGACAATAAAGTTAGTGACAGGGAAGGCAAAGAGGAGAGACTATGACAGCCCGTTCTTCTGGACAGAGGGGGTCTCAGCCCACCTGGGTACCCCGGGCTTCCTGCCTGACTCCTATTCTCAGGGAACGGGGAGAGGGCCAGAGCTCAGAACAAGAGTAGACTCACCCCACCTGGAGGGTAGGTGAGCCAGCCAATCTCAGAGGTCTCTCCTGTGGTGTCCAGCAGCACCTCTGCCCAGACAGAAAGGGACACACAGTGCCAGCAGCAGCCACTCCATCCCCAAGGGGACCCAAAGAATGTCCCTCCCTGCTCCATTTCATTTGCCAGCAGGAGCTCAGCTGCTGCCAGGAGCCTGTCTCTGAAATACCTGACGCAGGTCCCTCATGATCCCCACACCTGTCCCTCCTCAAAGTGTTCACACTTTTCTGCTTTTTGGAGCCCTCCCCTTCCCCACACCCTGGACTCCATTGGCACTGGGGGTCTCCTGCCTGCCTCCTTCTTACCTTCCAGAGCCAGCACCGAGGGCCCTAGGATCAGGACCCACAGGCTGCACACCATGCCCGCCACTCTGATCTTCTGCCTGGCAGCACCCTCAGTAGCCATGGGGCATCTTCAGGGCCGCTACCATTGCCCCGGCCACCACCCAGCTCCCAGGTGGGGCTGTGGCTTTCACAAGACTGGGAGACTTCAGCCACGCTTGCTTCCTGGGGAGACACGCAGGGCCAGAGAGCAGGGAGGAGGAAAGTTTTCATGTGCAGCCCAGGCACCCGGCTGTGTCCCCTCTCACAGCGCTCAATCTGCCCAGGCACCGACCATGGGGGGGAGCAGCAGGCACACAGGGTCTCTCCTGAGCTGCTGTGCAAATTCCAGTCCTGCAGGACCCCGTGCCAGGCCACCCCCCACTCCCTGTGCGACCATGACTCTGATGAGCTCTCTCCTGGCCCCCTTCTCACAGGGAGCCCAGGTAGCTCTGGATCCTTCTTACCTCTGTCTGCTGGGAGAAGAGACTCCAGCTCTCCCTGTTCATCTACTCTCCTTCCTTCCTCCAGCAGCCACCTGTGTAGAAGTCAGAAAATTCCTCAAATTCGAGTCAAGGGACAAGCGGCTGCTCTGCCCTCACTGACGCACGGATTCTCCCCGCGCCCCCCACGCTGCCCTGGACACTCTGGACTTGCAGAGAGGCAGTGGAGCGAGAGGGACACAGGAAGATGGCCGTGGGGGAGGAGGTGAGGGAAGGGAGGGGACCAGATGTAAACGCACATGAAAAGACTGTGAAAGATAAATGAGGAAAGAGCTGTGCAGTCCGGCAGACACTCTCTGGACAAAGGTTCTCTCCCCCAGGGGCTCGTTCTTTCCCATGGCTCACAGGACAATAAGCGCATGGCTTGTACACATGAAAAGGAGCTTCTTGTTTGCTCACACTTGAAGGAAGACAGATGAAAACAACTGTGGAGAATGGGAATGGTGGCGCATGTCTGTAATCCCAGGGCTCGGAGGGGCTGAGGCCGGAGGATTGAAAGCTTGAGCCCAGCCTGACTTGGCAAATTAGGGACAGCCGGTCTCTAAATAAGGGTTGGGGTTTTAGCTTAACGTGAAGGTCCTGTGTTCAGTCCCCAGTAACGCAAGCACAAGCACAAAAACAGAAGCAAAACCGTGGCATGCAATTGTTACGTACAATCTCAATGCCCCTGCCCCTAATTCCTATATGGAAATCCTCACCCTTGATGGTATTAAGAGATAGCGGCTGTGGGAAGTAATTAGGTGCTGAAGGTTGATCCCTCATAAATGAAATTAGTGCTTTTATAAAAGAGATCCAAAAGGGCTTCCTAACCCTCTTTCCACTTTGTGAAGCTATAAGGAAAAGAAGATAGTTACAGCTGGAAAAAGGACCTATACCCAAAACCAAACACTCTGCCACCCTGACCCCAGCTCCACCTCGAGTGGAGAGAAACACACATCTATGGTTTACAGCCCACCCGTCTATGGCACGTAGCTACTGCAGCCCAAATTGACTAAGACATCATTTTTAGCCTCGGAATTGAGAACACACTGTGTGGGACAAAGTATTAGCCATGGGGCCCCCATCTCTACACTGGGTTTATGAGGTCTCCGTGGGACGCTGGTGTGTGTAGAATGACTGCCAATCCCGACCTGGGAGCTCCAGCTCTAAGAAACCATTCAGGGACCACAAATTGTACCAGTTCGCACGGATGTGTGATCAAGAGTACTCATGTGAATTGGTTATAAGGGAACAGGCTGCAAACTAACTGTCCATCCACACAGACAGATGCCAAGAAAGTATGGGGCATCCTTCATGAGGAGGGTTCTGAACTGCTTGTGAACTGAGGGAAAATCATTTCCAAGGGATACAGGAAGCTCCCATTTGTTAACTGAAGAACAAACATATGCATGTGCAGGGACGGGCTCTGCTGGAGGAACCCAGGAAACTTGGTGAGAAAGCACAGGAGGAGGACTGGGAGCCACGGCCAGGGAGAGTTCACTTCCACTGCATTCTCTTGAATTTTATACTTGAAATCTTGCATACGAATTACCCTTTCAATGACCTCATTACTTATAATTCCCTTTAAAAGTGTAGATATCAACTTCTTAGTATATGAATAAAGTAGTACCTTTACACCCTGAGAATGATTCCTGGGAACAGCTAGCTCCCTGCTTAGGAAAGTTTCCAGGCCTGCAGGAGGCACAGCACTGTGCCCAGGAGTCTAGGAACAGGGATATCACTGCCTCCAGGGTCACAGCCAAGACTCACAGGCAGCCCCTCCTCTGCCTGCTGACCTGGGCAGTGGCTGTGCTCTGTCTCTCCCTGCAGCTGAGCCCTGAGAGCCTGTGTGTTGCTCAAACGGGAGCAGCAGAATCCATTTATTTCTCTCTGGTAGGCATGTTGCCCACATTGCTCAAGAGAGGGCAGAAACCAAAACCAGCTACAAAACAAAAACAGACAGTTGGAGGGGAGTTGCAGGTTGCATCGATGCGGCACTGTTAACCACAGTGACATGGAAAACTACACATTTCTCGAGGAAACTGAAATTGAACTAGGAGACTACATTTCACTGAGATTAATACGAAAATCATAATTTGATTCTTACTCATCTAATTTTTTTCTGGTAAAGCTGTATGTGCTATAAGAGAAAGCCTTGAAGCTGGCATGGTGGCACATGCCCGTAATCCCAGCACTTGAAGGAGCCAAGACAGCAGATGGAAAGTTCTAGTTCAGCTTGAGCAGCTCAGTAATTTTATTGAGATCTTGTCACAAAATTAAAATAAACAGTGAAACAGGGTTTAGGGTGTAGCTTAGTGTAAAGACCCTGGGTTCAAGCCCCAGGTACCACAGAAAGTAAAGAAGTCTCATCTCTATGAAGCTACCGTGGAAAACACACCTTGGTACATGGGTGTGTAGTGAGCACCCACCAACCAACCTCCGAGATCTGCTTCTCCAATCTGACAGCCTTTGTGTAAAATGGAGAGTATGATTAACAGGCTATGGCAGTAAGTTGCAAGCAGTTGCTTATAGAAAACACTTTCTAAGAAGTCAAATACTGCCCTCAAAGCTGCTAGGATCATTCACAAGTTCAATACAGGCTCCAAAGCAAAGGAGATCCTGAAAGAAGGAGCAGGCATCCCTCCCTTAACTTTTGCAATGCTGCTGCCATCTCCAACTACTGTTTGCTAAAGTAATTCAGTATGTAGATCCAGCCCTCCGAATCTCAGTGCCTTCATACAGACACATGTTGCATGCCCCAGAGGCAACTAGATCTTGTCCAGAGTCACAGTCCTTAGGAACACTGCTATCAAGAACAGAAATGACAGTGTCAAGCTCTCCCACAATGAAGGCTATTTTACTATTTGCTGAGCTGTTCTTTAAAATAGACTCTCTCAGGCAGAACAAGAATGGATCCTATAAACTTCACAAAGAAGAAACACAAGCTCTGTGTCTTACTAAACTCACCAGCTAGATAATCATGGACAGAGAACAATACATATTTTGGTAACATTTTAACAACTTTTTTGTGCTTGAAAGACAGCAAAACAAGATAGAAAATATACACCCCAGATAATGTCCACTGTGCAATGTGGGACATTATAACCAATGAGGAATGGCAGGATATTTGCTTTGCTGACCCACAATACAAGTCATTCAGTGGCTTGTGGCTGTAGTGGGCGTGCCTTGGTAGACTTAGTACGCATGTCAATGACAAGATGAAGCTGGCCTCCCTCCAGAAAATGCAGAAAAGAGTAAAAGCAATTACGAAATATGTGAAGCCACCTAATTTCTTAATCTTCTGTCATCAAGAAGAATGCAAAAGAAGAAAATGGAGGGGCTGGGGATATAGCTCAGTGGCACAAGTGCCTGCCTGGCAAGCGCAAGGTCCTGAGTTCGATTCCCAGTACCGCCCCCCCGAAAAAAGAAGAAAATGGAGACACTACCTGGACAGAGTACCACTTGAGTAAGTTTTTGAAATTTTACTAAAAACAGAGAGACATGTTCAGTGAAGAGAAATGATTGAGATGTTAAAGAGCCCAGAGGTATGTCTTAATGTCTGATGAGAGCCTCTTACATTCAGACACAGAATATTGAAGGTTAAAAGCACATTTCTCCAGGAAAAAAAAAATTGTTGTTGAATCAGACTGGGGAGTTAGGTCAGTTCCTGCTTATCTAACAAACCAGGCAAATTCAACTCTTTTATTTTTTAATATAAAAAAGAATCTGAGTGCATCTCCACTGGAAGAATGAAAATAAGGAAAGAGGAAACTTTAAGATATGGAATAAATTGCTGTCAACTAATTCATACCACTGCAGATTCTTTTCAAGCAGTGTCAAAGGTAGAATAATAAGTGATAGGAACACGACTACTCTACCTGCTTGGAATACTAAACAGGCAGTGCTTAGACCTGACCTCCAAAGATGCTGCAGGGGCTGTGGACATGGACCATCTTTGACACTCATCCTCAAGAGCATCCCGGACACAGCGAGCATGGGAAGAGGCTCCCACAAGGCTCCTTCTCCTCATCCTCAGAGGCTGCTTGAGATTCCTCTATCTGTTCACCTGGGGAGAGGAGCTGTCCGGTGTTGAAAAAACCTCCAGCATGAGACAGTACTGAAGACAGATCTCAGTGGGGGAAAACTCTCACATCTCCCATGCACATAATGTTTTAAAAATATAAAATGCCCAAAGCAGCAGAAATATGGATGTAAAATGACTGCACGAATGGGAAACTGATTAGAGGAATTGGCACATGATAGACATTGCATTCCGTGATTTCAAATGTTTCTCTGCTCCTTTTGTGCATATGTCAGTTTCGACTTCTAATGCCCTGGAGACAGGACACCCATGAGCCTTGTACATTCCTTTGGTTCACAAAACAAACACAGAATTAGGCATCTGGGTTTTGCTCTGGCTTTTAGAAACTGATGAATCTTATGTAGTCAGTTCTCTGTGAAAATGGAGTGGATAAAGATAAATTTGTAAATCTGTAAAGGATTTAAAAATTAACACAGCTCAAATTAAATACTAAATATGGAAGTCCCATAAGCAAATCTAGCTTGCTTAAAAGGGCTTATATACCTCAATCCATAAAGTGAATTTTGAGAACAGTATGACAGAGATTGATGAGGTAATAAATATTGGTTTCTGTAGGAAGCAGAAATGGAGGATGGTAGGTGGGGGGTAATTACGCTTTGTCTTACATGAACTTCAATTGATTTTCTCAATATTATATTAATAGGCATACTTTATTTTCATAGATACAACAAAATCTAAACAAAGAAAGGAAAATGTTTTTAAAACCTAGACAAATACAGCATGCTTCTGTTTCACCCGCTCCCCCTTGACCCTCTGAGCTCCACACCGTCTAAGCATGTTCCCCTGTAACAGGAAAGCAGAGATGAAGGGGTGGCAGAAGCTGAGAGTGAAAGATCAGAATCGACAACAAAAGTAAAATAACTTGTATCCCTCGATGTTCCTGAAGCGTCTCTCCCAGGTTCAAACCCTCATGCTTCTCTGCCTCCACTCATGCAAAGGTCAGGAGCACAAAGGCGCAGAGGGGAAGAGAGGGGAGGGCACTCAGCAGAGTTGAGTGCATCCAGGAGCCAAGGCCAGCAGCAGTCCAGGGCAGAGGGAGCGTCCTCAGGGCACAGGGGTCAGTGGTTTGGTGTCTCCAGTGGGTGCTGGGCTGATTCTCACACCTGTTCCCTGCAGGGTCCGCGTGGGTGGGGTCAGCACCAGAGGACACCAGGCCCCGTCCTCTGTCCTGTTCTGCAGCTGTTAAGCCCCTGGGAAATTCCAATGTAATCCTTGCTCAGCTGAATGCTGCAGCCTCCTCCCTCTAATCTGCACCCTGGAGATCCTCTCGCAGCTCTCTCTCTCCTGCTCTGGCCTTCTGCCTTGAAAAGGAGCCCAACAGGCTGGAAGGCAGCATCCCGGGCAGGCAGGAAGGAGGTGGCTGTGCTCTGGCTCTTGATCCCCTGCTGCTCAGGCAAAGACGCCCATTTATGGATTGCCCAGCAGAGTCCTGTGTCCCTGGAGGTCTCCAGCCTGTGAGAATGTCCCCAGGAGCATGCCACGCAGACAAATGTGCCTCCCACTCTCCGGTGCGGGCAGGGGAGGCATTTAAGATGCAGGCAGTGTCTGGGTCTGGCCACGTAGAAGGAGCCAGACAGCCACGTAGAATGAGCTACACTGGCTGGGCACTGACTGGGGACACACAGGCCCTGGAAATGCACATGGGGTGGGGTGGCAAGTGTGTGTGAGGGAAGAGCAGAGCAAGGGGGTGGGTGAGAGCCCCTGAGTGCCAGGAGCAGTACCAGTGGTGGCCATGCCCCAAGACACGTCCAGGCAGAGGGTGGGTCCACACAGGAAGGGGTGTGTGTGAGGTGAGGGGGGCGGCAGCAAGAGCTGGAGGTGTGTCTCTGTGTGCCAGGACCTGCGGCTCAGGGCTGGCTCTGCAGGGGTCCCACGAACGCCTGTGCCTTGCTCCATCTGTCTGGCTATGCACTTGGGAGATGCTTCTGCAGAAGTGTCTGAGCTGAGAGAGGGCACACAGCAGGGAGGAGAGAGGGAAATGGAGGCTTCCAAACCTACTGCCCAGATACTGCCCCTTCCCATCCACCTGGAGCGGGCAGCAGGGCAGGGGTAAGGGCCCAGGACCCCGGACCAGGACAGGGGGCGGAGCTTGGAGCCCTGCTGTCCCAGAGGAGGGTCCTGCGTTCCCATGCTCAGCCATCCTGGCCTGCTGCTCCCAGCACCCAGGGAGCTCCAGGGTCACGGCCAGCCATCACCTTGCGCACTGAAAGGACCAACAGAATCCAAAGCAGTGCTGTTCCCTCCTTACTAGACGGGAACACAGGAGCCCACGCTAAACTTCAAGGACGAGGTCTGTAACCCAGAAAGGGCCACTGCTCCCCTGAGCAGCACGGGGTCCCCCACTGCCCTTTATTGCTCTGGCAGCTTCCCCGGGCTGTGCGCAGCCCCTGCTCCTCGCCAGAGACCCTCAGCTCAGAAGCACCTTCTCCCCTTCCGGAGCCTGAGTCAGGTTCCCCGGCTACTGGAGGGCCTGAGTGAACTGACTGGGAACAGGCCTGACAGCTCTTCTCCATGGGCACTGCCAGGGACATTACCACATGAGCTGCGCTGGGCCCAGGCCAGTGCCCCCAGGGAAGGGAGGAGAGAGGGTGCCAGACTGCCAGGATGGTGGGTGGAGGTGGAGGACAGGCAGGGCCAAGCACCCAGAAGCAGCGAGGGGCGAGGCTGGGGCAGGAGCAGGCAGGAGACTTTGGTTAGGACTTGAGCTTCAGGCTGACAAGCAGGAGCCAGGCCTCCACTCCAGGGCTGTAATGTGATCCGGGCCAGGGCAGCCAGGGATGTGTGGGGAGCTGTGGGCAGGTGTGCACGGGCCTCCTGGCTCCTCCCAGCTCCAAGGGGATTGGAGAGATGCCACTGGAGTCAGAGGGATGGGCAATCCTCTCCAGGACTCTAGGAGGCTCGTCTCTGGGGGAGCCCCCAGCCCCTGATCAGGACCCTCCGACCGCGAGCAAGAGGAAGGTCTCTGGAAAGGAGGCAGAAGGGTAGAGGGGC